AATCTTGATGAAAAATTGATTTTTCTGAAACAAGCAAAAAAAAGTCCGTATTTTACTGCAGAATTAAGTGGTAAATATCCGTTTTTTTCTTAGAAAAACTCTATACTGAAACATAGATTCTTTAATGAAAAATATTCTATATCGATTGCAAAGTAAAATAAAAATTAAAATCATCAAGAATAAAAACAAATTAAAAGTGGACACATTTTGGAAAAAAATCATAATAATCTTCTCAATTTAGGAATTTTCATTGAGAATTACTGTTTTTGAAGTCCATGTATAGTTTGTCTGCTCTTCGATAGTAGAATAAAATAATCGGAATATTAATATCAAATCAAGGCTTACATGTAAAGAGTTTTGTTGAAAAGAGTTCCATTTTGATATGCACATACCAAGAGTATCTTTCTAGTCGAATAACATAAAAAAAAATAAAAAATGTTCGAAAATTCCAAAGTAATTACGTTGGTAATTCTGGGCAAAAAATACATTATCTGTATAGCTCACACCAGCTTACAGTGGCAAAAAATATATTACATGTATGTGTCACATATGCTTAGAAAAGGCAAAAACTAGTTTACCTGTATAGGTTTTATCAGCTTAGAGAGAAAACATTATATTACCTGTGTAGGTCACATCAACTTAAAAGGACAAAATCTATCTTACCTATATAAGTTACGTCAGCTTACAGTGGCAAAACTGCCTTATTTTTACAGGTCAAATAAACTTACAGGGGCAAAAAACATCTTATCTGTACAGGTCAAAGCAACTTACAGGGATACAAACTATTTTAACACTATAACTCACATCAGGTTACAGGGGCAAAAATAATCTTACCTGATAGGTCTCATCAACTTACAGGGGCAAACTCTCTTAACAGTATAGTTTACATCATGTTACAGGGGCAAACTATCTTAACAGTATAGTTTACATCAGGTTACAGGGGCAAACTATCTTAACAGTATAGCTCACATAAGCTTGCAGGGGCCAAAACGATTTTACAGGATTGAAAACTACCTTATTTTTAAAGGTCACATGAACTTAAAAGGGAGAAGAATGATCTTACTTGTATAGGTCACATCATTTTACACGGCCAACACGTGAATTTTAGAAATATCATATTAAATACGCCTAAAACTATTTAGACTTACTTCTCCAGTTGTTTGAGAAGTCATATGTATATATTGTTCTATGGCTATATAGCCGGAACTTACCACATATCAAATAAGACTTACGTGTTTATGCATTACATTTAATTGATTAAATGTGTATTTTCACTGTTAATAGTATTAGATAGATTAATAAATAATAATAATTTTATTTTTAGTAATGATTGAGTTGGACAAATGTGTTATGCATGTTATACACGTGACAATTCTGAATAGGTGATTCTCTAAGCAGGCTCAACCCTGTCAGGCGTTCTTGGGTTAAAGACCGAAAACACCCTAAAAAAGACGATTCCCACCTGATGACCTAAGGCAGAGTGGTCATAGAGGCATTTTGTCGTTTGTCTGTCACTCATAATTAGAATTAGTTATTATTAATTCTAATTTTTAGCAACTCTTCTGGTAGAGTTATTACATAACTGCTAAGATTTTTTGGATGAAAAAAATTAAAATGTTTGAAAAAGCATCAATATTTATATAGTATAGAAATGTTCTCTCCTCTCACCTTCCATACAATGAGCACAACATGATTTTGTATTTATCAACATTGAATGATATGAAAACTTCCAATAACTGATATCTATATCATAAAATAACAGTGTAGAGAACTAAGTGGTAATTAACATTGAATGATATGAAAACTTCCAATAACTGATATCTATATCATAAAATAACAGTGTAGGGAACTAAGTGGTAATTAAGTTTTCATATCATTCAATGTTCCACTTAGTTCTCTACACTGTTATTTTATGATATAGATATCAGTTATTGGCCAATTAACATTTAAAAAAAACTTGAATTTATAAAAATTTGGTAAAAGATTGATATTGTCCAGTTTAAAAGTGTTACTGTCCCGATAGAAAGCTCAAAAATATAATGTGAACAAGAGGTTGTACATTAATTTTGTTCAGTTTAAAAGAGTTATTGTCATTTCCATTCAGACTTCTGCAATTTAATGGAACTAAAATTCCATCTCAAGAATGTGCTGTTGATTTGGTCAGAACATTAGAGACTAAGACGTTTATTTCCATGAATCATATTGTAGCTTACGCCAAAATATTTTAAATGTATGATCGCCTACGTGCTCTGTGGAACACGATTTATCAATTTATTGATTCAATTGGACTTAAAAAAAGTCATTTACCTTTTACATATCATTTGAAGAATAAGTTTATTTGTGAATGTTGGTTATAATTTACTAGTTTTCAATTGATTTATTTACAGCTCGTCTAGAAAACCCTTATTACGTCAGAATAGAATACAGTGACTGCAACCAAATACAAGTCATGAAACAAATTTCTGGCTATTTTAGTTTTTATTACGATAACTTAGTATTCATAGTTTCCACCTATAACCATTGACTGTGTTACAGAGATTAGTAAATGTGTTAAAGTTAAAAACAATAAGTATTTAGTTTTAATCTTATAGATGTCGTAAGAATGTGTTTTTATCTGAACTGGATTGGTTAGGGATTATACAGATTTCTTTTAATATCTTATTTTTCTACTTTATCAACATTTGCAGTTAACGGTTACGTTTTAAGACTAATGCTGAACATAATTTACATTGAAATTAGCTTTTCTATGAACCAGCTACAAATACCATAAAAAAAAGAAACTTTACACGTGATCAGATCATATAAGAATGGTGATTTGGAGCTATAAAGCTCGTATTAGCCAATCATTCAATTTTAATGACAAAATCTTAACACTACAGTTTTAAAGTCAAGTGTAGTGTTAAGTCAGATATATAATATCAATGTTGAATTCTATAATTTAATCAAAAATATTTGGAAAATAAATATTCGGTTTTTGACAAAGCTATTAAAGGATTTCAAAACGCAAAAGCCATGCAATACAGTTGTTGTTTGGTCAGTGCAAAGCTACACAAAGGGCTATCTGCAGTTTGTCCAGAGCGGGGGATTGAGCCCCAGTCTTATCGCTGATCCATCAGAGCAATACGGAAAGTATGTACAAACAAGTAAGTGGCGAAGTAAGGGAGAGTAGGTAATGTTATCAAAATACCTAAAATAGAATGTTACGAGGTAAAAATAAAATTCAATCAGCTTAGACTTGTTTCCCAAATTTGCTCTTCCACATAAAACAATTTTAAGAATTTATAAACAAATATCTATGCCACTGAAAAAATAAAGCACACCCGCACTTTAATACTTTACACCATTCTTTAAGTTTTAGAAATTGGTTGCTCAATGAAACATAAATCGCCGAAGATATAATTTCCCTAAATATGTGTTAGTAAAATACTGTTTCATATACATACTTAAAATTACTTTAACACGACAATGTAAATGTTTCACAAATTTAAATTGCTTGAATTTTACATTCTTAAATATTTCTTCATGTTCAATCTTTCCATTCATTTATAAACATTCCTGAAATCCTTACCGTTTCAATATATATTTTGAGAATGTTCAAACCTAAGTCAAACATTATATTATCTTTATGATCATTTATTAACTATAAGATAAATGAATCATTATCGTTTCAGACAACGATCACATTAACCGTATTGCTTCAAGCTTTGGAGTCGTTTTTCAGCAAAGTTGATAACTCTTTCAAAGAGCGAACACTTGTCCTTATGAGAAAAGACGTATGGTTTTCATCGTAAATACTGATTGGGCTTGTGAAAGTAGCACTTAGCCTTTTGAGAGTCTGAGCTTTGTTCACGTCTATCCACCTTTGTAAAAATACATCTGTTTTCTGAGGAACGTCTTCTAGATAATGACTGGTGTCCTTTGGACCCCACAGCATGTACTCCAGAAGAGCTTTGGCATGAGACAAAGAAAAGGCTTTTTCTTGACCCAGAAGACTGGCAACAGAGGCAAAAGCTTGCGCGGAAGTGTCGCTTGGTTGGACGATATTCTCGATTTCTTCAATATTTTGCACTCTAAGAAGAAGAAACAAATTGTTTAAAGCAAAATGGCAGAGGGTGATCTTGTTGTCTTCAGATTCAGACTTGACAAGACAGCCGACCTCATCTGGAGAAGGATGTGTAAGAAGAACCACGAAACTATGATTCTGACCCTCTGGCTTTGCTAGCAAAAAATTATTACTCTTTGGGTCTAACTTTTCTATCCCTTCAGCCTGCAAATTCTTCAAAATTTGAATTAACTGTAGCATTATGAAACCTATTTCGTTCATGTCGAAATGTTGACGAAGACTTTTACTGGTTTCGGGAGTAATTGCTGAGTGAAGAAGAGACATTTTTGCTCTCTGTAAGACGAACGTAGATACATGCACAGGGTCAGAGCTTTGGCTGCTTTCAGTAATAGGTAGAAATATCCCAGGTACGATGTCTTTGAAATGCTCCAGTATAGGAAAGTTGTATAATCTCTGACTGTTAGGGGTAGAGGGTTGTTCTGGACGAGAAACCTGAAAAAACGAGGTTTTTATTACCATCCACAAACAGTTAATATTCTAAAGATAAAAACCTAATGATCTTAGTCTCAAATACGATGACCATAGTTCACAATGAAATATACATAAAACAAGGTTGCCTTAAAGTAGAGTCAGAAAGTAGAAGATGTCAGTTTACACAAAATCTCTCTCTATATTATATAATATCCAGATTTCTACCTGCCTGTCACTCTCCTATCTCCTGAACGGTTGATTGTAGAAAAAAAATCAAAATGCTTCTTTTCAAGAGTACATTTTAAAAGAAAATACTCTTTTTTTTTGAAATTCGTAAACTTTCATATCGATATTCTCAGGTCTCTATTGGGCCGAGAGTCTTTACATTAGGACTTATTATACGCGCATGCCAACCGTTATATTAGATGTCTGCGGATTTACAACGTTAGAAACCGGGTTTCGATACTCGTGGTGGGCAGCGTACAGATTCTCCATTGTGTAGCTTTGTGCTCGACTTCAAACAAACAAATAAAACAGTTTCTAAGAATTGAAATTCACTAACAATGCCTAGTGACTTGTAAAAACATTAAACACAACTGTAGTTGTATACACTAAATTCCTGATTTGTTTGAATTGTAGAAAAGTAACCTTTCCATATGTTTGTAATATGTAACTAAACCACAGCTATTACTAAAATAACAGGCAGTTATTATCCATTTAAAATTTAAAATATTAGAGTACTCAAAAAACAAACAAACGAATTCAAACACACTAGTATTTTCACAACAGAATTTGTGATATTACCTTATAGTTTCACATATCCTGTTAAAAATGTATACTCTTATAATTTCACATATCCTGTTAAAAAGGTATACCCTTATAGCTTCACATATGCTGTTAAAAATACTCAAAGATTCTCCGGTGTTTTCAATAAAAATTTATTAAAATTACCACGTTTCTTATTTTATATATTTTGCATTCAAAATCAGTTCGAAGCGCTAATGACATCGTTTTTAGGTATAATTGAGTAAGAATCTGTAAAGACCACTTGCTTTAAATTTATAAATCGAACTTTAGTTTCCACAAGACTGGTTAGGTTAGAGCACAACGGATTTTCTGCGCTACATTTAAGCATTATCTTTATAAGCTTATCATTTAGCCACCGGGTGGTCATAGATGATTAATTATTAAGCTTATCATTTAGTGGTCATAGATGATTAATGAATAAGTATTTCATTTAGCTACTGAGTGGTCATAGATGATTAATGAATAAGTATTTCATTTAGCTACTGAGTGGTCATAGATGATTAATGAATAAGTATTTC